TTTGATGTGGTAATTATCATAATGTTTGATAAAATTGTTAGAGTATCTAGTATCTAGAGTACCGAGTCTCTAGTATCTAGAGTATCTAGTGTAATTGTATCCGTTATTATTGTTAAGGGTATCTAGTGTAATTGTATCCGTTATTATTGTTAAGGGTATCTAGTGTAATTGTATAACTTCAGCCATTACACACAGCACACATTAGATCCTTCCACTTTCGACGATCCTGGGCGAGCTGCCTCAGTGCAACTAGATCCTCGTGTGATGTGAGGGAGTTTGTGGATCTGGAATTTTTCAGGTCGTTGTTGATGGATCGCGGGAGTGTTGTTCTCGGGCGGCCTCGGAACCCTGAGCTTCCTGGCTGAAAGTATGCCGACATAGCCTGCTGGACCGGGGATGAGGTGTCTAGTCGAAGCATGTGGCCAAACATTCTCCACCTAGCAGACTGGATGATTCTGCTGAGTGGCTTGGAGCCAGTGCGCTTGTACAGTGCTTCATTGCGTATTATACGGGGATATTTGACCCCTATGACTGCTCGTAACTGCTGGCGGTGGAACGAGTCAAGTTTCTTTTCTTGAGTCTCTGTCAGGCTCCATGTGCCGCAGTTATAAAGAAGTATTGGGAGAATAAAGCTGCCGTATAACCTAATCCGAAGGGGTTCACGGGCATGGTTACCTCTTAGCCATATCACCCACAGCTGATGTAAGGCGCATGTTGCTAGACGTTTTCTCCGACTGATATCTTCCTCCACTCCAAGCATCGATCCTAGTTTGACCGTGTTCCGCCATCGCTCGTCTACTCTGTCCTTTTCTCTTTTAATTGTAGTATATTCGGTTTTGGCTTCATTCATTTTTAGATTGTATTCCGCTAACGAGGATGATAGTATGGGTTGATTGTCATGCAAATATTGTAGGCTGGTGCTGATGAAGTCTACGTCATCCGCATACGCTGTTTCATTGGGCAATTGAAGCTGAATATCCAATGCTGGTCGCGGTGAGAGTCGCTCTCGAATCAACCTCAATGCAGCCTCGAGGTAGACAGTAAACAGGACTGGCGATAGAGAATCACCTTGTGGGGTTCCATTGTGTGTGACTAATGGTTGGCTGAGAATGTTATTCAGCTTTACTTTTATTGTGGTGTCTGTCAGAAGGCACTGGATGATGTGCAGCTCATCATGATCAATGACTGTTGACAGTATATCGATCAGCCTGACCCTTGATATAGTGTCAAATGCCTTTGACATATCAATGCCTAAGATTGAGATCTCCGACGCAACACGCTGGCATCTTGCTGATAACCACCGATAGCTATATACCACGTCTCCAGTACTTCTCCCTGACCGGAACCCGCTCTGGTTCAGTGACAAGTACCCGTTGATAGCTGGCTTGATCCGCGTCAGGATGACCAATGAAAGAAGTTTACGTAGGGTGTTCAACAGGGTAACTGGCCTTACATTTCCAGGAGGACCTCTTTTCTTTCCCGGCTTTGGTATCGGGATCAGTAGCCCATCGCCTAGCTTGAGTGATTTGTCTTTGGCATAATTGTTGAATGTAGTGGCAATGTTCGAGAACAGTGCTGGTGTTCCATATTTGATAAGTTCAGCAGGTATCCCATCTGGTCCCGAAGCTCGGCCATTATTCAAGCGCTTAGCTGCGGCATGTACCTCTGGCTGCTTTATAGGGTTTTTAAGGTCTTCCTCTGTCCGTAAGAGCCTAGATGACTCCAGAGCAGGATCACAGAATATAGCACGGAAGTGTTGCCTTAATGCTTCGACTGATTCACTAGGTTGTGCAATGAGTTTGCCATCAGAGTCTTCAACCACAACTGGTGACTGCTGCTGTCGGCGCAGTAGTCGTGTTGCTTTGAACATTTTCGCGTCGTCTTTCATTTGGTCTATTTCAGCTACACGTTCGTCCAGTCGAGTCGATGCTAACTTGAGGCATTCCCGGCGAATTTGGTGTGCCAGCCTGTTGCGTCGCGTCTTCATTTCTTTTACCTTCGTTCCATCTCTGCACACCGTAATGTCGAGACGCAGTTTGCGTTTCTCTGCTGCTAGCTTTTCAATTTCCCCGCTGAAGCCATTTCTATGCGTCTTGTTTGTTTTAGGGACGCGGCCCACCGATGTGTTTGCTGCCTCACTCATAGCGTTCACAATATACTGCAGATGTTGCTCCGCATTGACACCTTCCTGCTCTCTGCCGAGGTCCTGTAGATGTTCGTTGATAGCCTCTCTGTACTTTGCTTTCTTGGTCGGGTCACTAAATTCGGATATATTGAATTTTGCGTTGCTGGATATGGCTACTGGCGGCCTCTTGAGCTTCTTGTACAACTTAGTCAGGTTGAGGTTTGCCAGCACAAGACGGTGATCGCTTTCTAAGCTTGTCCCGGCGTATGATCTGGCATCCGTCACCACAAACCTTTCACTGTGACGGCAAAGGATATAATCTATTTGGTTGTAAATGGGTAAAGGTGGACCTCCACTAGGGTTGTGGCGCCAGCCTGTCCATGTGGTGATATGTTCTGCACGGTGCTGAAACGCCGTGTTACAGGCAAATAGGTAATTGCTGGACGCGAAATCAGCCAAAGTCTGGCCGCTGTAGTTGCGATGGCCCCTTGAGTGTGAACCAGCATAGGATACGGAGTGGCAGTCACTGGGTGGTCGTTTCCCAAGTTTTGCGTTGAAGTCTCCCATCAGGAACAGCAGCGATGAAGACCTTAGTTTTTGAATTGTTTCCAGCAAGCTGTTGTAGAACTCGTCTAGGCATGAATGGTCTGCTGCAACGCGTGTTGACGTCGGGGCGTAGACATTTACAAATGAGCACAGCGTTCTCCCGGAGAGCCATAACTGTAGCACGGCGATACGGTCCGACACCTGCCAATATCTATATATTCGGTGCAGTAACTGCTTTTCCACCACGAATCCGAGTCCATAATGTCGACACGACGACGAGAGACACAGTAGACGGTAGTTGTCAATATTTCCATCGTAGCCTTCGGAGATTTTAGTCTCCTGAAGACAGCAGAGTCCAACTCTGTATTTATTGAGGTCTGAAATAAGTTGATTTTTTTTGAAATTTGAAGTAAGTCCACGGACGTTGAACGTACCAATGCGAAACAAGCCCTCGCCTTTTGCTCCACTACTCAAAATACTTCCACAAGCTTGCCTGTTTCCTGGCGAAGAAGACATTACCCATGGGCCAGCCGAAGCTGACGGCCATGACCGAGCGGCGTCACTCGCTCTCCAAACTGTCTGGAGAATACTGGGTCTAATCCATACTCAACATTGGCGCCCGACCATTGCTCGGAACCCATGACCCTCTTGCTCTACCGCCCGGCATTCGTCTCGTCGTCAGTCTCGTCTAGTCTTCAACCTCGTCTCGTCTCTGTCAACCTCGTCTCGCCTATGTCTACCTCGGCTCGTCCAAGTCATGTAGGTCAGCTATTTTTCATTGTTTCTCTCTCTCTCTCTTTCGTGCGTCCTACTTCGTCAAATTTATTTTCAGTATATTTATTTCAAGAGTCGGCGTGAAGAAAGCAATTTTATGAGTGCAATTAAGAGTATAATAGATGCAGACATGGCCAGACAACAACGAGTTATGCCTCATTTCTTGTTGGAGGAGACCAACGAAGTAAACAAGAAATGCTGTTCTTTTCGAAACGCGGGTGCACAGTCCAGAGTTCATGGACTGTGCTGGGAGTGCAGTACGCACTGGCTGCACAGTGCGGAGTTGCAGCATGCACATGAAGGTGCATGAAGGTGCATGCTGGTCTGAAGACAGTGTGCTTTTTGTTCTTGCACTGCTGCTGTACAGGGGCGTTCTTTTTGTTCTTGGAGCAGCTGTTCTTTTTTTTCTTTTTTTTACAAAAAACACACACCATTTGACGGCACAAAGCAGCAAGGCAGCGATGGGACATATGGAATGGAAGGAGTGGGGAGAGGCAGGGGCAGCTGGACCGACCATAGGGTCTCTGCTTCATTGCAACCCAAGCGCTCCACAAAAGCAAAAGATTACAGAAAATACGCAGGGGGGGGGGGAGATAACTGGGGATTACGGGGGAAAGTATGCACAATAAGAAGTTATCAGAGAGTCAACAAAGTGAATGGAGGAGGGAACAGAGTTAGAGCTTTTTTCCTCTTTTTTCTTTGATTCATAGCCTGGCCGGTGCCCACTCCCAGCGGGTAAGGCGCAGGTGGGTGTTGACCTTTTCTTTGAACATCTGCAGTCCTTTCTTTGTTGCTGCGACCCTGCTGTTGCTGCGACCCTGCAGTTCTATTGTTGTTGTTGTTGTGGTGTGTACGAGAGAGTCGAAAAGAAAATGGAATTTTAAAGGATTTTTATTATTCAAAATTAACTCGTTGTCTGGCCATGTCTACATTTTATTTAATTTTTTTACTAAGTACACAACCTACTCGTCAGAAGGGGAGAAGACAACAGAGTATACAATAACAAAACAGCAGGGAGAGTACGGGCTGCAAAGCAAGCCTGTGCTGGTGAGGCAAGCCCACAACACCGACCTATGGTCTCGGCGTTAACGTGAGCTTGCGCACCATAGCCTAAAAGAAGGGGGTGATTTAGCGATAAAGACAAGAGAAGGTTAGGTAGAATGGTTGATGAGAGAGAGAGAGAGAGAGGGGGGGGGGCTATTATACTCTTTATTCCCGTAACTATGCAGAAGACGTTACTTCAGTAACGTCTGGCGCTAGCCAGGGTCCACACAGCTTTAATTTGGTATTTGTGTGTTTGTGTCACGCCTGGCGCTATCCCATATCTGTCCCGTACCGTACCGTACCATCAAACACAGCTGGCCATCGCCAACAATCGGCGACATCGCCTCTAAAAAATATTTTCCGTATAAAACATTTCCGACCAAACGTCACTGCAGGGTCGCGACGCGCTCGCATGCGAGTATGATTTTTTTTGATTTTCATGATTAAAAAAGGAGCATTTGCGATGCATGCATACGCGAATGGCCATGCGTGTGAGCTACAGCTGCGTTCTTTCGCATGTTTGATTTTGAACTCCTGTTGTTTGTACACATAAACAGCGTTCTTTTGAAGAAGCTTTTTTGTTGTTGTTGAGGAGAAGTTCTTCAATCCTCACTACGATGTCTCGCAGACGAAACGAGCCTGGCTTTTACGCCAGGCTCAACAAGTGTTCCTCAGCTGATATTTTCAGTAGTCCCTCGCGGAGGAAGTTCAGGCAGACTGGACCTGAAGTATTCGCTGCTTCTTACCTAATCGACAGGAGAAAGAAGAAGGTACGTGTACGTGTATTTTGTCGTAGGTCTCAAGGTCCACACAGTTAAGCTGTTCATTGCACTGAATTTCCGTGCTTTAGGGCGGAAGCATGCAGTACCTGGTGAAGTGGAGAGACTTCAGCCTATACGATGCGACGTGGGAGATAGAGGAAGACATCAGCCATGATCTCATCAGGTGATTTCTTTTGATTTTGGTGGTGATATGATTGGATGTAATCTTACGTGAATTTGAAAATCTGCCTTTTGTGTGCTGTAGAGCTTTTGAAGGAACGGGAATGTTGGGCCCTTTCTCAGATGATGAATTGTTTGAGGCTGCTGATGGTATTCGCACTGCTGTGCAGCGAAAGCTACGTAGTGGATGTTCAAATCCTGAGTCTACTTTATGCAGAAGGGAAATTGTTTATTTCTGGTTTTCGAATCAGAAACTGGACAAAGGGGGTGCTGTAGAGTTGGGAGAGAAGGATTTCCCTGTGAAGTTCTTTCCTCCAGTTTGGGATACTTGCATGAATGTACATGGACAAGGCCCTCGGGTTCACTACCCGGTTACCATCAAGCCTACTGTTCGCCGTAGTCCTTGTACGTTCGTGCAAGATACCTCTGGATCTATGACGGAAGGGCATCGTGCTGCCAGGCAGTTTGTCTCTATACAATTTGTCAGTGTTCAGTCACACGTCTGAGTAAGGTTCGCAAAATGATGATGGATCCACTCAGCAAATATGGTTGACATCCCCCATCTGATTGTGGTAATGCTAACATTTATCACTTATTATGACAGAATGCCCAACTATCTTTTCCATGGCTCAGGGTTCTTGCTTATTTCCTTCCTGTTCTCATTAGGAACGATTGTGGCGCTCGTCCTTGCTTCGCAAACTCATCCGGTCTGCTTGTAGGAAGGAGGACGTCTCCACTTGTCTTGTGCTCATTGCTGCGTCAGTGATACCATTTTCCAGGCAACATCATCGCCCCATGCCCAGATAACTGCCATATGCTGCCGTAAGTTTGCATCAAATGCAGTATGTGGTTATTTTTTTCGGGTATTTTCCACTTAGCTTACAAGGGTTACCAATCCCTGCCATCACACAACCGTCTTCTATTTTTACAGAAGAGAGAAAGAATAGCAAGCTGCTCGTACCATGCATGCACTTGTGCAGTGCACCAAATGATTCCAACTGTATGGTCCTACCAAGAGCTCATACTTGGTGAATATGCAAAATTAAATTAGCTGGTAGCTAGCAAGTAACTTACGGCTTACATCTGATGAAGGAAATAGCGAGTCAGAATTCATGGCTAGTTTGCCCAGCAAAGAGGCCTTGTTTAATCATGTGCTCACCACACAGCACAAAGGAAGCTTGCATTTGGCTGAACACGGAGCTGCACCACATTTTCAGTGCACATTAAAATCGTATGCACCCTGCGCGCAGCACTAAAGCTAACTTAGCAATACATGTAACAAATGGGAGGAGAGAAAGAGAGACGGTGGGGCGAGCGAATCAATAAATGAGACAAGCCTGCACACATAACAGAAAACCAAGCTGGAAGACAAAATCAAAGATTGGGTAAACGAGTTCTGTGTGCATGTATTGTAATGAAAACTATTCCTTCCTGCTATAAACTATTACTTTAAACTATTCCTTCCTGCTATATCCTCGCCTTGACCGTTCCCGGCCTCGCTTTGCTAACGTGTCTATCCGTGCTGTGGCCAGCAGCACGTCCTGCGTGGCTTTGTGTTTGTTGCTCCTACGGTGGTGGACACGTCGAGCGACATCATTAAGTTTCTCCACACCTTGGCCACTGAATTGTTGCAGGTTCCCGTACCTTCTCAGTAGGTACGGGACGTGCATCATTAATACGTGAATGTAGGGCGTGACCTTGGCTTTGCCGTACCCAGGCACGCTGTTGCCAAGGTCACAGAAGACCTTCACCCAGCCCTTGACCTTGTCTTCGAGCTGGGTGATCTGGTCTTCCTCCAGGCTCCTGTCATTTACCGTTTGGTAGATTTCGAAAAAGTCTGTCCATGTTGTTAGGACGGCTGCCTGAGTGTCGGTCATCAGGCAGCCGTCCAGATGGGCAGTGATGCCGCTCAGGAGCTTCACTTTGTCCGTGCCCATAAGACTAGTGAACGTGTAGTGGCCACTCGCTGCACCATCGGCGTTCTTTTTCTCGCACACGTTAAAGGAAACGCCGCAGGCATTGGCAGCCTTGATGACATTTAATAGGTTGGGCGCTTCCAGCACCTTTTTGTGCCCTTCCAGTTTGTCCTTCTGCATAGCATTCTTTACTAACGCAATGGTAAGAATGTCCGTAATGCGCAGCATCATGTGCAATTCATCGATCACGATGTGGTCTAGTTCAACATTGATGAGGGGTTCATGCTTTTGCCCATATTTGTTTTTTCCTGTTTTCCCATCTGTGACAGTGTTGTCTTTGACTTGCGTCGGATTTTGTGTTCGCAGCTCATCCATGGTCCTTGCAACCGGAGGGGTGTTGAAATAAGCTGGTGAGTTGGTAGTGTCGTGGCGGTGGTTCTTATGCACCTTACACCACGGGCATGCATGATTTGCCGTAGCTGCACTTAGGCCCAACACCATAGAAATGAACTTCATGTCTCCACCGAGGAAAATCTCAGTGGGGACATTACCATTGGAGGTTGAGACACTACCAGACTCCTGGATGTCCGAGACTTCTGTAAACAAATCCTTGAAGCATTCCTTCAGATTCAGGAATTCCTCGGGTGCATTTACGATACCCAGCACCTTATTGTGTGCTGCTGATAACTCGCTGCCCTCTCCGTCTAGTGTAGCATAGGACATCACGATGAAATTTGACTTTCTGCTCACCTTCGCTCCATCCACGCTCACTCTCACTTTGAGCGTGTTTCCTTTGATATTTGCTGCTTCACGTTGCAGGCACTTAGTGAGAGAGCGTTGTGATCCAGGGTGAGGGCCTGGGGTTGCAGAAATTTCCTCAAGTATGGGCTCATTCAATTGATTCCTGCACTGTACCACCTGGTAGAGCTTTGGCATACCATTGCCATTGGTGTTTAGCACCTGGACCAAATCATTGTACATCTGATCTGACCTGCAGAACTTTTCCAGGATGAAGAGCACTTTCTCCACAGTTTCTTTGTCCTCATCCTGAATTTCTCATACGCCGTATGGAAACTACCTCGCCCGTAGGCAAGTTCATGTGTCTTTCCTTGGGCGTCCGTAGTAGTTACCGTTTTCAGCTGCATACCGTAACTCTCCACGAAACATAGTGCAGCCTCCGCTGCTGATCGGATTTTCCTCATGTTTCTCTGTTGCTGACGTTCTCCAACCATATGATGTGGCTTGCCATTGTGTGTGTTTTGCCTTTTCTCTTCAGATATGTATTGGCGCAATTCCTGATTGTCGCGTCCCAGCTGGTCAAGCAGAGTACCATCATCGACCGTTTCCGTGAGGGTTGTCATGGCATTGTACAGCGTTACCACCTCATCATGCTTGTAATGTATGGATTTCATTTCCTCCTGCACTACTACAAGTTCCTCTTTCAATAATTCGACCTCTTTCCTGAGATCTATGGCAGTTGCCATGTCCTTCAGATCGACTGAACACGTATACACATTGCTCTGGTGATACTTATCTCTTCCTTTCTTGTGTGCTTTACGTTTTTTCTTGAAAGTGCACGCTGCTGACCTCATCCGCGTGTTCAGGCGAGCTCTGGCATCTTTCTTGACCTGTACACGAGCAGAAAATGACAACACCATGTGTTTGTTCTTTTTCTACCTAGATGAGTCAGTGAAGTGTGTCCCTATGAATATGGGACACAGCTACTTTATTTCTTTATCTTTCGTGGGTGACTTTCACAGGCCAATACTGTATTATATTGATTTGGATCTGGTAGAACTTTTTGCTGGACACATACAAGCAACATAAATGTTGAGCCACTTGATATAGTTTCTTGTTGGTCACTTACAGCTAGCATGTTGACGTGCTTTTCGAGCTCGTCCACATATTGGGGTCCCCAACGCTCCAAGTCGCTGTATGGGATGTTGATGGTAACTGTGCTTCCATTAGCACAGCATGCGTAGTGCTGACGTGATTGTGGCTGCGTGTCGGCGGTGTTGATGCAGCCGTGGTCGATGCTGTGGATGCTGTGGCTGGCGCCCATAATGCCTCTGCAACCACATCAATGGGAAATAACCATGTAGCAATTGAGATGTTATCATTATTTACTGAGTGCAATGGTAATGAGTGTAACGTCTTACTTACCTATTGCCTCTCTTGGCCGCGGTGCGTGTGTTGTTGCCGATGGTGTGGCTTGCGCAGTGCACGGCTCTGTAAAAACAACCATGTGATCATATCTGGTTCAGCTGTACTGCTACTTTCATTGTGTGATAGCAAATATTTGGTGACTTACCGTTGGTTACTTCAACCGGTTGCAATGGTAGGAGATTGCCAACTTCATGGAAAAATGCCATGTTGGAGTTGGTCAGAATACGGTGTTGAAAATACTGGAAAAAGGTCTCCCAACAGATAGCTGAGTGTTGCAAAACACTAGAAAAAAGTCTCTCTGGAGATCACTGAGTGTTGAAAAACACTAGGAAAGGTCTCTGAACAGATGACTGAGAGTGCTGATATTGAAAGACACTGAAAAGGAAGCTTCTGCTGGGAAAGGAAGTGATCGTTTGTAGGGGTCACTTTTCACACGTGCATGCGCAGGATCCTAGGAAGCATCGAAGTGGTCAGTCAAAAAAACCGCCAAAACGATCAATGATGGAAATTTTTCCAACTTTATGTTCAGCCAATTCTCAATAGCATGAACATAACTTGAAGTGATGCACTTATACTTTGCTCAGACGAGCCGCTATCCAGCATTGTGAGCTGTACTCGCCTTGGGTTTTTACCTGCTCCAGCCACGTACCACGTGTACTGATGCGGACGCAGATGTGCTGAAAATATTGGAGTTGTTGTTTGAGCAAGAAGAAGTGAAACACTGATCCTTTTCATCAAAGAGAATGATGATTTTTCAATCACTCATTCCCTGTTTTTCTAGGAGTTTGAGGATGTGGATCGCACTCACTGTGAGTTTCCAGGAGATTCCTTTTGTGGTTCCAAATAGAGAGGATTTCGATCTTGGAGATTGACCAACGACAACCTGGGATCAATTGGAGGAAAGTTTCAAGAACTGGCCTCGAAGATGGCTATTTCTTGTATTTTTCACCTGTTTATGCAATAAGGTATGATCCTCAATAACGATTTATGTGTGAGTGAAAATTCGTGATTGAAGTGGACATCGTCGCATCGAGGAAGTTGTTTTTCGTTTCGAGTCTGGTATTGTATTGTAGTGTCTTGTTTGGTCATTCCGAATTTCCATCGACACTTGGATAATTCCAGTCGTGGACAGAGGACAGTGGGGATGAAGCTCTCTCCTGTTGATTTCTAGGATAGCTTCGTCGTAAAAAATTTCACAATTTCGTTATGTTGGTGTCGTAAAATTGTTGGCGATGACATACAGCTGCCCGCAATATTCAAATAGGGCTTTCAAACGCAAGATCATAACGTGAAACAACTTGGAAGAATGGGTATGAATGCGAAGTGTATGGGGGAATGCATGTAGGGCGATAGTGCGGGTTCGAATCCCAAGATATGCCTGAAAAAAAATAGGAGAATTGAAAAATTTATAACATCCCTATGCCTTTTTTGCCGTCATCAAGGCGGTAGACCGTGTCGTATGACCCTCGATCGTACCTGTCCCGTACCTATCCCGTACCGTACCGTACCATCATAGACGGCTGACCACAATGCATATTCAAAGAGGGCTTTCAAATGCAAGATCATAACGTGAAGCAACTTGGAAGAATTAGTATGTATGCGAAGTGTATTGGGGGATGCATGCAGGGCGCGCGATAGTGCGGGTTCGAATCCCAGGTTATGTCTTTAAAAAAAAGGAATTTTTTAAGAATTTATAACATCCCTATGCTTTTTTGTCTAGGTCATCAAGGCAAAAAAGCATAGCGTAGGGCCCTGAGCTTCCAAGCTCTTTCGTTTATTTCGTGATTTTTTTGTAGTGTGTGTGTGTGCGCGCATGTTTCCAGCCATCAATATTAGGGGTCCGTTGGTGAGCCACGCTCTATCATTCTGGTTGCAAAAAGTGGATAACTAAGCTGTTTAGCCATCCGAAGCAGAAGAAACTGTAGTGCATGTAACATGTAGTACAGTATAGCACTTTTGTGAGATCCGTGCGTTGTGTGTGTGTGTGTTTTCTCATCGTCTTAATATTTTCCGCGAGGTCGCGGTTCTTTTTTTGCTCAGGGGAGGTATGTTAGGTACCTCCTCCCGTACAATCTTACCTACAACCTTTCCTAAGCTGGCCGGCCTGCATGCACCCGTACTACGTCATACTCACCTTTCGTTCCGTTGGCCTGGGTAGGCACTTGCGCGCCCATGTTTGCCATAGCTAACCAGGCCCTTTATTTTGCGTTGTTTCTCAGTCGAGCTCTCTCTCTCTCTCTTCAATAATCTCGCTCTCGTCAATAATCATAATGTAGTCGTAGTAGTTCGTCTTTGTCTCCGTCTCTTCGTCTACCCTAATAAATGTCTTTCCACCTACCTGTCCCGTTGTGAATTGTGTCTGGAGAATATTGGGTCTAATTCATACTGAACATAAGATGAGGTCCGTTTGCCATTCTTGTAGCCGTTTCAAGGTCGTAAATTAAGGAGGCTCAGACCACCAAACTCAAAAATTAAAAAACATGGATAGTTGGGAATTTGTCCCTTGGGTAGTGCTTATGTTGACTGTCCAAAAAATTGTGGGGGGGGGGAGGGTCACTGATATGTTCGGCGTCGCATGAATTGTTTTTTCGAGAGCCGTCGATACATGAAATTTTTCCATTTTCAATAAGAAAAATCTGTTCTGTTTCCTTTTGAAGTGTATCTTCCTCAGATTTTTTAGTCTAATCTATGCAGGCCACAACTATGACACATACCCACCATTGATAATTGTATTATTTTACTTTACTTAGTAAGTAAAAGTGGGGAGGCTTCCTGCAGTTTCATAAACAGTTAAGTAGTAGAGGCAACACGCTCTCTTCCATTAACACTGCAATAGTTCAACTCATTTCACAATATTGCAACATTTCGGCAAGTTGCCTAAATCAGGTTCACAATGATGTGATGTGCAAATTTACCACCAGCTTGACGGGGTAGCTATGGGCAATAATCTTGCACCACCATTTGCGATTTTGTTTATGCACACCATAGAAACACGTATTCTTCAGGACTCACCCCTTGCGCCTATTCTGTATAGAAGGTATATTGATGATATCATTATCCTCTGGATCCATGGAAAACAGCGACTTACGGAGCTGATCGACCGATTCAACAATGGCCACCCTCGAGTCAAGTTCACCTATGATCTGAGCTGCGACAGGGGCTGCGTATACTATAATAGATGTCACCATCGCTTTTCAACAGTCAGGCGAATTGCCATATGAGCCAGCGCACGTGAAAATCGACTTTAGTGACACGCACTTCAAACTAATAAAATGCACTCCAAACATTCTCTGTTTCTCGGCTTTCGTGTGATGTGTGATATATCAGGAGAAATGCTCTATCTTCTAAGACCCGGAACTCAAGTTTTTCTCAAGATTTTTTCAAACGTTTTTTTGCATTGAATTCTGTATAAATCCATCTGCCTTTATCCACTGTCATCTCAGTTTCTGAAAATATGTCACTAAGGGTGATTTTCGCGTGTGCTGGCTCATATAGACTATTTCAGAGGCCGTGCAGCAGTGGTTTGTTAGTTGACTATGCATCTTCAGTCCCTACTCATTTCAAGTTGGCCGTCGCACAGTCGCAATTCTTGAGGGCACAGCGACTCTCATCCAATACTCAGATGCGGGCGGAAAGTGAACATAAGATACACCAACGGTAACCTCCCGCGACAGTGCGTCCATGTTAGCGCGGTGCACTTCAGCGCGACCGCCTTAGCTCGAGGCATTTCAGCTTGGTGCCATTTCAGCCCCGTGTCTTGACAGCGTCAATGATTTCAGCGCGAAATTTTAAACCGCAGGACTTGTCAGCGCCAATTTCTTCAGCGCAGATTTTTCCCGCGGGAGGCACTTCAGCGCCGTACATGTTAACGTACGTACGGGCAGCAATTAGTGGCTATTACTAGTATTAGTGACTATCAATGACTATTGACAACTTGTACGGGTATTACCACTGCCATGTACACCAGTCGCCCTATAAAAGACACAGTATTTTCGGGGATAGGCCATCATTTCCCTTAATTTCCCTATGCAAGCTAACTCTCAAAAATGGAACTGAACCGATTTGAGACAGCCAAGGACTACCTCCTCTCAACCCCGCAACCTGCATGTCCGATTTCGAACAAGGAATGATAGCTGGTTTCGCAGATGAATTTCCTGCCGCCAAGTCGAAAGGTTGTCTGTTCCATTTCACTCAGGTGATCTGGAGAAAGATTCAAGCAGCCGGCATGCAGGAACTTCACAATGCTGGTGGTGACCTACAGGATTGCTGTTGTCAACTGATGGCATTGCCATTCTTGCCAGAAGACCAGGTCACAGCCACCTTCGATTGGTTGGAGGAGATCGCCTCTGATTTAAACCTTCAACAATTGACAGATTACATGCGGACACAGTGGATTGAGAATGCTAACGTTCCGATGTCGGTGTGGTGCTGCCATGGAAGGAGGTCAGGACCAACAACGGTGTTGAGGGATGGCACCATCGACGCAGTACTGCGTACTATAGTATGCACGAAGGTGCTTCGCGATGACAGATATGCGCTGAAGTGTCTGGCGAAGACGTTACCTCGTGCTGACAGAACATCGCGCTGAAGTGCCTTGCACTGACATTACCTTGCGCTGAAGTGCCTCGGGCTGACACTACCTCGCGCTGAAATGCCTTGCTCTGAAGTGGTCTCGCTGAAATGCCTCGCGCTGTAGTGGACG